AAAAAAAAAAAAAAAAAAATATGGTAAGCGGTTACAAGTGTTTTGTTTTTTGGTGTTAGTTATTATAATTTTGACGCGTTTTTTACACTTTATTGAACCTTTACTTCTGGCAAAAATTATTTGTTAGATTCAGTACTTTATTTGGTAAGTTTGTTTGAATAATTTAATGGTTCTGTCTATAATTTATCTAAGTCTATAATTGAATTAACGTTTTTGTGGTTTTGTAGTTCACAACCTGCGAGGTCGTTCTTTTTACCACAGATAATTTAAATTGTCATAAAGTCTACGCGTTTCAAAGTTTACGTAAGTGTCGAGTCTGTGAGTTTTATAAATCTATAGCAAGCACTAGATTAAAGCATGAAAATCATGTAATTTGATATTCATACACAATGCGGATTCAGACACGTATTTAGGTAAACATCTGAATCGTGAACGTGAGAACTGAAATCTAGACATATTTGTTATTTACAACTGACAAATGATATCACGCGAACTAACGTTGTCAAACGATTCAAAGCAGGATTTTTTTGTTATCAACATAATATCGCGTTTTTCCAATTTGTTTCTTACAAGGGAGGGATGGGAAGAATTGGATTGTGGGACGCATAAGAAGAGGAATTATCCTTTCTCTGCAAGTCTACTCTTTGTTGACAACAGGTAAGCAATCGTATATTTTTTGCGGATATCTATGGCCAGCGGTGGCCTTTCGCTCGTTTGTCAACTTATGACATCTGTACATGTTATCTAGTTGCACTTTTTATCTAAACTACATAATTTAATAGGATTGTAATAATAAATTTATTTATTTATTCTCTTCCTTGTTTATTGTAATTTCAAGAATTATTGTTTTTAGACTTTTTTAAACTTAAGTTTACTAGTTGCATGCGGTTAAACAATGCCAATGAGGACAAAAAAATATATAATTTTCTATAAGTACTTGTTGTCACGTTATCATTGAATGCAACTTTTATACATTCCTTCATATTTTTATTAATATAAGGGACCTTTACCACTAAAATGTAAATTGTTTAATAGCAATCCGACGTGTTAAATATGTAATGGTTATCGGATTTTGTTTCCTTATCTGACAATGAGGTCATTTTTAAGCTATCTGAGCCTCTATCAGCCAGTGGTGGGACAGGCCCTAATACTTATAAAAGTAAAGTCCATCAAAACATCACGGCAATCTTTACCGTTCTTTGTAGTAATTCAACTTTTTGGCGTAGGTTTTTACTATAATTTGCTAGTAACATGGTCATAACATGGTCAGTAATTTTAAAGATGGACTCCTAGGGTCCGAAGTTATCTGTGCTGTAACAATACGTCAGCCGGTTTTTAATAATGATGTCTCACGATTTAACAAATAGAAAAAAATACTTTAATATTCTTTCGTGTCTTTATGCTTCAAAAGTTTATTTATACACCTGAATAATTATTATATAAATTCGGTTTTGCTTCAAAGCTTTGAATGAATTAAGTTAATGTTTCTTGTTGATTTATAACTTTATTGACTTCTTAAGACTTTAAAGTTACCACCAACTGTGCTTTGTATCTAATTTTTTTTTTTAATTTGGCTTCCTACTGGGAATTTAAGATATCCATTGTTTTATACAAAGGGCACGTGTTTTCGACATATCATTGATTGGGGTCTGCAAGTTATTTTGTTGTTAAATTCTCATGAAATTGTAATAATGGCGGTTAATATTGTTACAAAATATAAAAAATATAGACATAAATAATAGAAAAATACCACAACCACAATACTATAAGGATCACTATAAATGGACAGGACTTAAACCGCAGTATTTAATTGATTCTCGCCATTTTAACACTGATGAGGAGTGAAGAGTTTTAGAATCAATAATAATGATAATGTTAACATCAAAAGGTGCGTTTAAGAAGCAGCAGCTGTCATTTCCAGTCACCTAACCATTTACACAGATCAGTGATAAGTATCCTTCTCTTTTTAATATTAAGTATTCTACCTAAGCAAGTAAGCTTTAATTAAATTTGACTTAAGCCGAGTCAAGTAACTGTCGGTCCGTACATTTAAACTCAATTTAATTTTGTAAGTTGTCCCTGTCAATTTCATTGTCAATTTTATTTACTAAGTAACTTGATTTTTATATTGCTTGTATTTATTTCTAGTCTATCTATCTATATCTATACTAGTCTATACTTCTATACTATTATAATAAAGCGTAAACACACTTCTTTGTTGCCTAAGATGTCAGCAATCACAGCATATTTTTGAAAAATCCTTTTTTTTATAAAAAGCCCTACACTTACGTCATGCTTTAGGCTATATATTTTCACGCCATTAAACTTAGGGTGTAAATATTTTGGATAAAAAACCTAATGTGGGAAAGGGACCATAAGTTGCTGTCAACATCAAGAAAGACAGATTGCTAAGGTTTGCCATGTCATGTCATGTCATTTTGACTTTTGTTATTGAAAATTTGACAAATGTAAACAATAAAATAACATTTTCTTAATTTCATGCGGATGGAGTCGCAGGGTAACAGCTAGTTGTAAGATATAATAGGAGGTAATCGTTTACACGAGTTACATATTATTAACACTTGTCGTATCAATTGTTTTGCCATCGCTAGGACAGCCATATTGTCTTATTACCTTATGGAAGGTGACATTTTAATAACCTCAAATATTTAGCTTAGGGATTACAAAGGTTATGACGTCAGCAAATAATTTTATGTAGAATTTCCTCGATCTTTGAGTTTATTGAATTTATTAATTTTCTCTTTTCGATTCTTGTTCAAATCTAATAATGAAAATAAATCACGCTTCTTATTATCATATTGATTTATTTGGTATACATATTTAGTTTTATAATTAAAAAATAAATTAATAGTTCCATTAAACTATTAATTTAAAAAAATATATTTTCTGTCGATTTGAAATGCAGCAGGTTGCAGTGTGATTTATAAATTACTAGCTATTGCTCGAGACTCCGTCCGCGTGGAATTAAGAAAAAAGTGAGTAGTCTATGTGTTCTTCCAGACTATCCTCTACATCATACATCCTGTACCAAATTTCACCGAAATCCGTTCAGCTGTTTAGGCCATAAACTCTAACAAACATCCATCCATCCATCTAAACTTACGCATTTATAATATTAGTCATTCTATCTTACTTACAAATGCAAAAGTTTAGATAGATGTATTTTTGTCAGAAAGTATCTCCTAAATTCGATGACATTTGGAATAAATGTAGAGCATAGTTTGGAAGAACACATGTTTTTTTTTAATTCAAAGCGGATAGATTTACCAGCGAAAACTATAAGTAAAAAAAGGTAACCATGAATTCCTTTGTAAAATATTTTTGTCTCTGTCTATTCTATTAGAAACAATCCATACCACAATTATGCAGACACCTTTTTTGACTTATTACTTCGAGTTTTTGAAGTGCGTCAATGAAGTTGTAGAAAAAAATACTGTTTAACGACGCAGGCGACTGCGCCTTATATAGGATATAGAACCCGCACCACCGTGGCTCAGTTAACGCTACGCAGGCCCAACGAATGCGCATCTCACGGACGTGGTACTAACGAAGTGTTACGATACTGTGCGCTGTAGTGTTGTGATTTCGGAAAAACGGTGCGTCCTAAGGTATGTTTAATTTTAAACAAATAATAAATTAAAAATGTAAATAAAAACTGTTACTAAATTTAATATAATTTTTAAATTAATTAACGGTTGTTGACGAAATATTAAATTCAGTGATTTAATTTTTATTTATTTATTAATTAATTTAATTTATTTTAATACTTGTTTAAAAATGATTAATTAGTAATTCCTAAAATAAATTTACTTTAAAATTAACGTTATCAGAAATATTTTAAACTTTTGAGGTATTTGATAATTCATATACTTTTCAAATTTTTTTGCATTGGAATATTTTAAATTATTTTATTTAATTATCACCAAGTATTGATTTTCATTAATCATAATAATAATATAAATACAGGTTAAGCGTAATTTTGTGTACTTAAACATTAATTTATTTTACTATCTATGTTTAACATAAGCGACTAGTAATAAACCTTAACAATATCGAATAATAAGGTACTCATGTTTTACAAATTTATTTTTACAAAAGAAATGGGTATTTATCGTACTTGTTTACACAAACTAAATTGTGTCGTAATTAATAAATAATAATTAAGTAATTACTGTTTAAACTTTCGCCAAACATTATCACAAACGAATTAGAGGCGGCTTTAATTACGTACGACCTTCCAGTGACGGTACCGATTAGTTTCTGACCCTTCGGGGGTCCATCCAGAGTCCAGGGTGTGCTACGTTGCGAATTGAAACGATTTGATAGCTTCTTAACTAGCAAGTTCTGACTTCACAAACCAACATAACCATAGCAACCTATTCTATGTAACAATCAAAGAGTATCAAAAACCATAAAATCTGTCACAAATTAAAAAGCTTACTCGTATTATCAAAGTATATTCTACGTAACACTGCCGCCCTCCTAGAGGCATTTTATCCCGAAATGTCTGCAAGCACTGCAGAGATCTCTTAGCTGAGTTTTAGTCGTTAGTAGTTTTAGTAATTAAGAAATTTTGGTAGTTGTGACACCTATAAATAAATACTGCGTTCATTATTTTTGTAATTTGAAAACTATAAGATGTCAGAGTAACAAAAATCTTAATATTTCTTTAATGGTAATTAAACGACTGTACAGTCAAATAGAAAATGACAGAAGTTTTAAAGTCTACACGACTGTACCATAATAAGTGCGTGCAGCAGACCATTGACTAAAATATCGCACAACTGTTTAGTTTCGCTTCGATTCCTTAGCTTATATGGAGGTACATTACTCGATTTTTAGTTGTGCAACTAAACAGTTGAATTTTCTGCGAAACAATCGACAATATCACATCACAAAGTAACTACAATTTTGTGTCAAAGATAGGATCTACAAACAGCTAATTTAAGTTCCTTTCTCTTTACCACCCTTTTATTATAAAGAGAGGTTGGGGAAGTGAATTTGACGGTGGATGAGATGCATAGGAAGGGGAAATGTCCTCTTCATGTGCGTCTCCTCCCCCGTCGTATAATGGTAGGCAACGCATCTGCAATTGCGGATGTCTATGAGCAGCGGTCGCTTCGCCATTTTGGCGGTTTCAGGTGGCCGCTTGCTCGTTTGCCACCTTATGTTATAAAAAAAAGCTATAACCATATATCTTTGTATAAAGTATGGGGTATGTTAGATGGATGATTCTTAAGTTGGAATAATCTTAAAAAATGAGAGTTGGCTTCTTGCCATGTCACGACTCGGTGATACATTGGCTAAAGATAAAAAAACAATTGAATTTTACTGTCATTTAGCTGTAGCATATAAAGCCATAGCATATAAAGACGTATTTTAGATTAAGCTACTAACAAACGTTTACACTTATAATTTACTTACTGTTGCTCGCGACTTCGCCCGCGTGAAATCAAAAAATATAGCCTATGATACTAAGTGATAACGTAGCTTTAATGGTGAAAGAACTTTTGAAATTGATCCAGTAGTTTTTGAGTTATTACAATACATAAAAAAATACAAATCTTTCTTCTTCATAATATTAATTAGTGGTTTTTTGATTATAATACAGCTATTATTAGTAATTCTATTTCCCCTTTTCAACTTGAACGTAGCTGTTAGAATCAAATATCGTACTAGCGTTCATAATGCCAGTGGCTGGCATGCAAGTGTGCGAGCTTGTAATCCCGGTCTTTTACATACCTTGAACCGCGTCAAACTCGTATGAAAGTAACAGTATAATATCATAATATTGATTAACTGATTGTACACAGTTTAATATGCAAGAAATTAAATAAATATTATTTTAGAGAGACCGTTATGTATGGCAAACAATTTAAGTTTCATCTTTATACCGACGAATTTCAACATAATTCCATTAATAGTTAAATTGATTTTCGAATAAACAACTGTAGAAGTCTTAGAAGTCGTATGAATGAATGATTTTACAAACGCAAAAAGTGTTTACACAAAAAGAAACGTTATTATTATTAATAATACGAATTAATTGAAAATACCAATTAATCAATTATTATTAATAATGCCTAAAATGGTGTCCAGAAATCACGTATTTTGATAGCGTAAAATTTTTTGTAAAATAATTTTCAACTCAATGGCACAGATTAAAAATAATAATAACATTTAAAATGTCTGTATCAAGATTTTATGTCATTTATTTAATAAAAATTTTTTTTACGATTTACAATTATGACGTCACAGTATGGCGGGCATTTTGTACATATTATTTGAAACGCATTTATTAAGACCATCCTTTATTATGTTCTTCGTTTATTCCTCTTGACTAACAAATTGGTTACCATTATTTAGGGTCGTGTAGGATATTTATCTTTTAAAATATATTACATTCAAACATTTTCATCACATTGGTAATGTATAGGTAACAATAATTTAATATGAAAAATATTATTTTAGTTAGTAAATGAATAACTTTATCGGTCTGGCATTGAAGTAAGAAAAACGATAAAATAACAATCGTTAATATATTATCTATGCATCTCCGCTAAAAAATACGATTTTCGTACATATTCTATCAACCGTAGAAACTCATTAACGCTTACTAGAATCCTGTATGTTGTTAAAAGTTTATTGTGCAAATTAAACTAAACATAACTTAATACTTCAAGTTCGTTCTATGGAAGATTCCAGTCACTTAACACATCCATATTCATATATCTTACCAATACGATAAAACACTGGTGATTTTTAAAATTGGCAAGAAGTATAACTGTTAACTATTCATGTTTTTTTCTATATTTGCAAAGAATGTACCTGACAATAAAATAATAATATACGATTAGTTCAAACCTTTTCAGTATTATTTCTTACTAATATTGTAATTGGGAAAGTTTAGATTGATGGATGTTTGTTAGAGTTTGTAGCCTAAACGGCTGATCGGATTTCGATGAAATTTGGTATAGATATAGAGCATAGCCTGGAAGAATACATAGACTATTTACTTTGTTTTTTTTTTTTAATTATCCGCGAATGGAGTCGTGGGTGAAATTTATTAAAATTGTAAATCGTTAACGATAGAATTTCATTCTCATCTCGTTAATTACTTAAGATGTATATATTTAATTTATAACATAATCAAATTAACATTGTCAATTATTATTTAATTTAGATTTTTAATCTTCATTTACTAAAGCCTTTCTTACACAAAGTAACATGAATCTTTGGGACTAACATTCTACAACTGGCGTTGTGAGTATCGCATAGCGCGCACTATACACAGCGATGAATCGTTGACGCTAGTCGTCTACTCTGTCTATATAAATATATGACATTTCAATGAGATTAAAATCGTCAGATTTCAAAAAAATTACATCGCCTTGTGTATAAAAGGTCCTAATTATCAAGCTATAGATATATTTTAACATAAATAAACGTGTATTATCGGATATTGTGTAATCAAATGTCGACATTATACGTGCGATAGTTTTCAAATAGATTAATCTTCACACCAAAAGGTTTAAGATTAAGTAATATATAGTTTTTTACCTAAATGTATATAAAGAACTAAAATTAGCTTTTAAAATGCAATTAATTAGCTTTTTGTCTATCAATTCTTATTATAATTTGTTACGGTAGTATGACGAATTAAATCGATACCTTTTCTCATGTCCTTGATAGTTCATTGACTTCTAGATTTAATTTTGTGTCATGTTTTATAAGTAAGGAATGCTAAAACATCTAGGTTTATTTCTGAAACCCTTTTGGCAGGATCAAGTAAAGTTAAGACTTGTCGGAAGTTAAAGTAAAATTCAGGTCACTTCACCCGAGTGAGTTTTAGATTAGGTTATTATACATTTGAATCACAATCAATGCAGCCTAAACATTAAGTTTAAGAATTATGTAAGCCTCGAGCGCCTCGATCACAGTCAATGTCATTGCAGGTAAAGCAAGGTCCGTATCGATTTGCATCTACTTGTGAATAAAACAGCTAAATTCGTTCTGGACACTACAATTTATACAGTTAGCAAAATTGGTTTGTCATCAGCAGTAGCCATTATCTGACCACTGTTGGACATAGGCCTTCCCCAATACCTTTAACATAATGCTGACCTCTGCCATTCGCCGTTGTTGTATGTGATATAAATAACCAGATTTCGCGAAGAGGTATTGCTATACTGATAACGAAAAACGAATAAAAATGTCTTTGTCAGTGTATTTCATAAAACCTTTTTTGTAGCGTCGAAAAATTTATCTTTATAAGATTTTCCACACTTAGTTGTGATTCACAAAGTTCCAAGGATGATAGATTCTCGCGAATCTCTGTGATAAATGATAGACAAACATATCTACAAAACTACACTATTTGTTCGTAGATGACTACATAAATATTTGACAGTTTTAGCTCCACTTGTATTAGCGAAAAAATAAGATAAAAACACAGGCCTAATTTAAAAAGTTTGCATTTTATTGAAAAATAATTGTTCCCGTCGGCTCCATCCGCATGAAATTATAATAACTTTATTTCATTGTTTACATTTTTTTGTCAAATTCTCAATTGCAAATGTCAAAATTACCGTTTCTATAACCTTGCTTC